TAGTGATGCGTCTCAAATAGCCTCTCCTACTCAACAGTCAACCTCACCTTCCCGTTGGTGAACCCTGTTATCACAAACGAGGCTCTGACGACCGAGTATAGGCGGTATAACCTTATCATCCTGCACGGAGGAAATGTCGTTGCCATCTCCAGGTCCACTACCCCCTGTCGGTAGCCCCGGCACCAGACTCGGACGCGGAAGGCCAATAACCTACCCATCCTAAATTTGACCTTATTACTGAAACTTTGGTAGAAACAAACCGGACGGAACACATGTTGACGACTTTGGCATCACCGAAAACACGGACACGGTTTGGTTGCTGGAATGTTAAAACTCTGTATGAGATTTCTAAACTAGGTCAAGCAGTAAAAGAGTTAAATAGGTATAAATTAAGCTTGTCGGTCTATCGGAAGTAAGATGGTTGGGCAATGGTGAACACCATACCCAAATAGGAGAACTCCTATTATACAGTCGTAAAGAAAATGGGAGTCACGAGAGCGAGAGTACTTTTACTCAGCAAACAAGCCAAAACTTATTTCATGGAAACCCATTAATGATAGAATTATGACTGCCAGATTTTATACCAGATACCGTAAGATAACAGTGATTCAATGCTATGCTCCCACAAACACATTTCACCACGAAGAAAAAGACATTTTCTACAAACAACTAGAACAAACGACCCAACAAGTAAACCAAGGTGATATACCTACTAATAGTGATGGGCGATATGAACGCTAAAGTTCGAGAAGACACTATTAACTTAGAAACCTGTAATGGGCAAACATGGCCTAGTAGTGATGAATGAAAACGGAGAGCGCTTTACAAATTTTTGTTCCAGTCATAGTTTAGTTATTGCTGGAACGATCTTTCCACATAAAAATATTCACAAGGTAACATGGACTGCAACTGGTCATACAAGAGAAAATCAAATAGACCACATCGCTATATCAAAAAGATGGAGATCATCTCTTCTTGATGTAAGTAATAAAAGAGGAGCAGACATCACAAGTGACCATCATCTCGTAATTGGTACCATTAAAATCAAGATGGCAAAAATAAAAATCACGCGAAAGACCAAGAGACTAACATACAATCTAGATAAACTAAAAACGGTCACAGGAAGAAAAATGTTTAGCGAGGAACTTCAACTCAAAACAAGAGAACGTAAATAGCTGGGAAGATTTCGCAGATGTTTTGACAGAAATAGCTGAAGACAAACTGGGTAAAAAAGAGAAAGATAGAAAGGAATGGATATCAGATGAAACATGGAATCTTATCGAAAAAAAAAATAATGAAAAAAAAGATATCCTGCAAGCATGAACTGTAGAAAGAAGAGCACACCGACAACAGGAATATCAAACAATAAATAAATCAGTTAAAAGAAAAGCAAGAAGAGACAAAAGAAGGTAGGCCGAAGAACTGGCAAAACAAGCAGAAACAGCTGCACAACACAACAAAACTAGGGAGCTTTACCAAATTAGTAGACGACTAACAAAAAATGGGTCCAACTGTTCGAACATTGTAAGATCCAATACAGGCGAATTACTTACTACAACAGATGACCAAGTAGAGAGATGGAAAGAGCATTTTCAGGAGATGCTAGGTATTCCCAGAGATAACGCAGATGAAATTGTCGAAAATCCGCAGAATATAGACTTGCATATTTCTTGTGAAGCCCCTTCCAAAACGGAGATAATAACAGCTATCAAATCTCTGAGAAACAACAAGTCACCTGGAATCGATAACATTGCTGCTGAAATACTTAAAGCTGATCTGCAACTAACTGCTGAACTTTTGCTCCCCATAATCTGAGAGGTGTGGGAAACAAACCACATTCCAGCAGGCTGGAAAAAAGGTAACATTATCAAGCTTCCAAAAAAAGGCAACCTCACACTGTGGAAAAATTGGAGAGGAATAACCTTGCTTACTGTCATAAATAAAATTTTCACGACCACCATATTGAAAAGATTAACAAAGAAGGTTGAGTTTCGAGCTAATCAAGCAGGCTTTAGACCAGAAGCCTCTTGCATAGACCACATTAATACTGTGAGGGTAATAATGAATGTGCCTTTGACAGCTTGTCTCATGCTGCTGTATGGAAAATTTTAGAGTTAAGAAACATCCCGCAAAAAATAATTTCTATTATAAAGTCACTATATACTGATGCGAAATGTAGCGTGACACACAATGGGATCAACAGTGACGAATTCGACGTACTTACTGGAGTTAGACAGGGATGCGTGCTTTCTCCGTTTCTTTTTAACATAGCTATACACTATGTTCTCTCCAAACTAGACTCCGACACAAGAGGGATACAATGGACGTTAACCACAAGCCTAAGCGATCTAGAATACGCGGAACATATCTGCCTATTAGGTCAGAGGTTCCAAGATCTGGCTTACCAATTGGAAACACTTTCCACTGAAGCCAATAAAATAGGTTTGAAAATCAATATTAGTACAACCAAGTTCATGAGAATAAATGCAAGGAACAACACGCTATTTACTATGACAATATGCAGATTGAAAATGTGGAAAGCTTTACGTATCTTGGAAGTGTCATAACAGAAAACGGAAGTACAGAAGACGATATTCGTATGAGGATTCGAAAAGTCCAACAAGCTTTCAGCACGCTCAACCCTGTTTGGAGATCTGGCAAGTATACTACAAGGACAAAGATCCGAATATTCCGATCAAATGTCATGTCTGTTATACTCTACAGTAGACATTAAACAAGCAACAAGAGTTTATGTTACTAAGTAATTAATAACTGTTTAATAATAATAATAATGTTTAATAAATGTTTAATAACTGCAAACGAAACATTTCTACACATTACATCAAAATTTGCAATGAAGGTTTACATAATCATAGACACACTTCCTCTGTCAAACTACCCTAAAATAAATATAAAAAATAGAAGAGACATATAAACCTTAGTAATAAGTTTTGACAGAACGAAAAAGAAAATCAGATTTAATAATGTCATTATGTTAATTAATTTTGCTAATTTTAAAACACAAGGATAAGCCTATTGTAGATATAACAACTTCATTTTTTTTAATGTAGTTTTTTATGTTAATTTTTAGTACGCTTTGAAAAAGAGTACAATAAACTCGAAAGCTTAACAAACCTAAAAGAGTTTTACTTAAAGGCCAATATTGACTACTAAACCCAAGATATCCGTATATATTACACTTACATAGTCACTAAAGCCCTTTCTAAGAAAATAGATGTATATATATATATATATATATATATATATATATATATATATATATATATATATATATATATACAAATCTCTAAAGTTTTTAAATTATGAAAAAAAACAATAAGTTTGACATTTTGAATCCCCAGTTCAGAGTCTATTTACAGTATCTCATAATACATATTTCAACGTGTGACGAAAAAATATTATTTTTTCCAAACTTGATTGGTCAAATTATCAATTTTGAATTTCTATAAATGTACATGATGAATAAAATACTTGATCAAGTGTATTTTTTTATTCCAAATCCAAATGTATTTGATAATATACAATAAAATTACATAACGAATTAAAATACAGTAAGTGTTGACTGAAACTTGGAAACCGGGAGCAGGTTTTATTTAACTCGAGGGCAATCGCCAAACACAACAGAATCACATTTACAAGATCATAAATAAAATAAATTATATTACCAACTATATGAAGAAGGGATACTATAATATTAAGTAGTGTTTTCGTTTATTGATCATGAAAATAATTTTTGAGTCACTTATTTTTAGTTTTTTTTTTCACTGTTTTTTTTAAACTTCCACAAACAATTTTTGTTAGAAAGTGAAAATACTAATATTTATTGTTTAATAAAATGATCAAATGATTTCCCACATTTTGAAATATTTATGCACAAAATAAAAAGGAATTAATTGTTTCTAGTACATAAAATCAACCAATGATTATAACTTATTCAATATAGATTTTTCTGTTTCTTGAAATCTTAGCTTCTATCGTATTTGACCAAATTGGTGACAAGGACTATTATTAACACAACCTATAAAGAGTCACTAGTTAAATAAAACATTTATAACTGGACAAAACATTCTTTGTAACAAAAGTTGAAAAGGCATCTTAAAAAACAGTCCAACATTTTAAAAATCCCACTTAATTTACAAAACAATCGTTTCAAAATGGAAATCTTGACAACTAGCGACTAAGCAGTTAACAATGTAATTCTGAGGGTAAATTTCAATAAAAAAACATTTTTAGTTATCAAAGAACACAAAAGTCAAACTATTTCAGTACCATAGCCTCTCAAACACTGTTTAAGAAGGTAACCTAACTAAAAATATATAATTTACATTGAATGCATGTAATGATGTTCAAATTTACATTGCCAACAAATCTGAATTTATAAATCACAGATCCTACAAGATTCTTCCAACAAACAGTGGTAAGTCACTTACAAAAACAATATTTATGTAAACTATGTAAGATCTGAAAGGAATCAGATAGTTGCAGTGTTGCCAATAGTTCCTCAAACATTAATATCCTAACTCAATGACAGAACGAAATGGAAAAATACATAATTAATCAATATATTGTGCCAACCAACGGAATCCCTCTCCATAACCTTGTCTTTTGAGTATAGAGCACATAAATAGTTCTAGAGGCCTACCAGGTAGATCATTTCTAGCTACTTTGCCTTTGCCTGTTGTTTGACCAAACAAGCCAAATCTAGTTCGTAGTTCATCCTCTGAAGCAGCACCTGGGAGATCAATTTTATTACCTAAGATAAGTATTGGACAGTTGGAAAGAGTTTCATCTGAGAGGAGGGCATTTAGCTGTTCCTGGCTTTCTACAAATCTTGAGCTAAAATAGATAAAAAACATGATTTTAGTTTTTTTTTTTGGTTATTGTTGCCTAGAAAAATAAAAATTAATAGGTTTTAACACTTTTGCTGCTCATGACTCTGATCGGGGACAGTAACCTGTTGATTTTTAAGACAGTATATTTTACACCACCCCTTTACTCTTACAATTAAACCAGAACAAACCCAAAATAACCATCCTACAAGTTTATGCTCCAACTGCAGACAAACCAGAGAGCGATATTGAAAATTTCTACAAAGACCTACGAAGACACATACCGAAACAATGGTTACTCTCCACCTTTTGTACTATCCTTAAAAATATAAATGCTAAATATTGCAGTGAATATAGAATAATATCAATAATAAGTCACACTCTCAAATTATTCCTGAAAATAATACATGGTTGTATAAATAAAAAACTGGAAGAAGGAATAGATGATAGTCAGTTTGGGTTCAGAAACGGACTAGGAACCAGAGAAGCGTTATTTGCTTTTAATGGGTTAGCTCAAAGATGCATGGATATGAATGTTGATGTGCATGTTTGTTACGTTGATTTTGAAAAGGCATTTGACAAATTAAGACATGAAAAATTCATAGAAATTCTAAAGACAAAAAACATAGACATAGGGACTTACAATAATAACAAACCTCTACTGGAATCAAAGAGCACAAATCATAATAGATAACGAACCCAGTCCAGAAATTGAAATCAAGAGAGGAGTTTGGGCAGGGATGTATTATGTCCCCATTACTATTTAATGTATATAGTGAAGCCACTTTTGAAGAAGCATTGCTATCTCAAAGTGAAGAAATAATAATTAACGGAAGATCTATTAACAACATAAGATATGCAGACACCATTATTATGGCAAGCTCTGCTGAACAACTCCAATTACTGCTAAACAAAACAGTTTCTGTGAAAAATATGGACTGAAAATGAATATAAAAAAGACCAAATACATGATAATAACAAAGAAAACAAATATACCAACAAACATACATTTGGGAAATATACTGAAATAGAAAGGGTTGATAAATACAAATACCTAGGAACTGGATTTCATACAATAATGATCAAAAAACTGAAATAAGAGCTTGGATAGATATAACAAGAAATGTGTTTGTAAAAATGAAAACAATTCTCTCCAACAAAGATATTATTTATTTATTTATTTATATACGGCATCCATTTACTTACAATTTTTACAAAGTTACATCTTAAAAACAATATATTATTAAAATAACAATCACAAGTTTTACAAAGTTACACCTTAACAACAATAAATTATTAAAATAACAAACACCTCAGAATAATACAAATATATAAGAATAATACAGATGTACAACCAACTTATTGTAAGATATTTTTTAGTTGTTTTTTAAACAAACTAATTTTGGAGTCAAAAATATCTATTTGTCTTGGCAAGCTATTAGCACTCCGGACCAATCGTGTAGTTGGTTCATTGATACCATAATTAGTGTGGTGAAATGGCACCAAAAAGATTTCTGATTGTCTGTTGCTTCTACTAGGAACTTTAAGACTAACAAGCGATAAGAGTTGAGGACAATCTATAAAAGCATTGATAACTTTGTGTAAGAAACATAAATCTAACAATGTCCTCCTTGACTCAAGTGTTGGTAAGTTAAGACTATCTCTTACCCACTGATAGTTGTATTCCTCTCTCCTGTATCCACTCTTATAGGCTGCTACCCTCAAAAATTTATTCTGGACTCTTTCAATCTGTTGAATGTAACAGTGGTATGATGGGGACCATACAACTGATCCAAACTCAAGAATGGGCCTAACGAGACCACAATAAAGTCTTCTAAATGTAAATAAAGACAGATCCACAGATGTGCGTTGGATAAATCCCAGCACTTTCATCGCTCTGTTTGTTACTTGGTTAATGTGGCTTGAGAATGACAGTTTGGTGTCTAACCAAATTCCCAAATCTAATACTTATTTTTAGAGGCTAATGGCAAGTTATTTATGTAGTAAACAAATGTAATTGGATTTCTTTGCCTCGAGAATGTCATTTTATGACATTTGTTTATATTGAGTGACATTTTGTTTAAAGTGCACCAATCATAAAACGATTTAAGATCTTCCTGTAATATAACAGCATCATTCCAGGATTGAATATTTCTAAACAGTTTTACATCGTCAGCAAACATAAGAACACTACAATTTTTGATTTGTTGTACTAAATCAACCAGAAACAAGCAAAACAAAACAGGGCCACAATGGGAGCCTTGTGGCACACCTGATGGAACTGTTATTTTAATTGAAGTGTCACTTCCCAAGTTAACTGTCTGCATAGTCACTAACAAATTCTGTAATCCACTGAAGAAGGGGATCCAAAATACCCAAAGCTCTTAGTTTTTGTAAGAGGACCCTATGGTTTACCCGATCAAATGCTTTGGAAAAGTCAGTATAGATTGAGTCAACCTGGCACCCCTCTTCAAAGCTGTTATATATATGATTGACATACAAAACCAGGTTGGTATCTGTTGACCTCCCTCTCATAAAGCCAAATTGTTCAGGATTAAAAATGCCTCTATAACTCCATGTCAGTTTCTTACTAACCAAACAATCAAGCAACTTGGGCAGCTCCGACTGATTACAGAGAGCTCAATAGTTTGATATACAGTTCCTTGCACCCGATTTAAAAATCGGCTTTAAAAAACTTTTCTTCCAGAGACTGGGAAAGCTACCAGTACCAAGTGATCTGTTAAAAATAAACAAAATTGGTTTTGTAAGTACACATATACATTTTTTCAGAAAATAGGCTGGGATTCCATCCGGCCCTGCACATAATCTGTTTTTACAACTTGCAATAGTATCATAGGCCTCAGTTGCTGTAAGTATTATAGAACTCAAACAAATAGAACTCTCAAAATTTAAAAAAGTAAAGTATCTTTTTGTTCATCCGAGTAGACTGATGAGAAATATTCTGCGAACATATTGGCAGAGTCCTTCATATTTAAAAACACTTCCTTATTAGATTAGAACTGAGAGTAAGAGCACTGAGTTTCTATGTGTTTTCGATACTGCAATATGGACTTGAAAGCTGGACATTGAAGCAAGAACACATACATAAGTTACAGTTCTTTGAAATGTGGTGTTATAGGAGGATGCTTAGAATAGCATGGATACAGAAGAAAACTAACAAGGAAGTATTGCGAGAAATGGGCAAAGAATGCGAAATAATAAACACAATAAAAATAAGAAAGTTACAATATCTAGGACACATAATAAGGGGACAGCGATATGAACTGCTAAGGCTGATATTAAGGGAAAGATAAGAGGAAGAAGTATAGGAAGAAGGAGAGTGTCCTTTGGGTAACACCTCTCGAAAAAAGTCAGCAGCGAATGTGTTAAATTCAAACAAGAGTATATAAACTTCAAAATATTACTCATAATATACAATGAAAACTATAACTACTTATTCAGATAATAAAAAAACAATTTCATTAATACAGTAACTGTGTAAATTGTTTTATCAATACTTTCAAATATAACATAGTCATTTAGCATCTAATACTTTATCATGTCAAGGTTATCTAGAAATCTCTAAATTTTAATCAACATTTTGACTGCATACTTAATCCATTCTGAAGTATAATTAATTACAATGAAAAGAAATTAATTTTTTCTTGAAATCTACAAGGTGTTGACAAAAACAAATAAGCTAAACAAAAGCAAATTTTCTACAATAAAAACATCGTAAAATAATTTCTTAAAACACTTCCTGTGCTCAAAATGGGACAAAAATACTCTGAAATTAATATGTATGTGTCAAAGGTCTAGGTTATTGAATCAATTATTTCTGTAAATAACAGAACAAAAAGTGCTTTGTCAATTTAACAATACATGAAAATTACCTGTCGTTGGCATCAACAAGGAACACTATGGCATCAACTGCTGGAAAATAGTCCCTCCAAACTCTCCTAGCTTGCTCGTGGCCCCCTAAATCGAACGTCGTAAACCTCATGTTACCAATGGAAAGCTCTTCTGATGTGGGATGTAACGTGGGAAGATGCTGTGCCAGTCTGTCATCCTTGAGCATATGTAGAAGGGTAGTTTTACCTGCATTATCCAGTCCTAAGAATAATAGTTTTCCAGATTTCTTCCATAATCCTAGATATCCCAGCATTCCCGTAAACCAGTCCCACAGAAACATTTTCGCACAGTTTTTTTAAATACAGATGGGCTTGAAAAAAGTTGTTTAATGTTTTGCGTTGTTTTTTGTTGGCAATAGGACTTTGGAGCCCTATCTTTTTCAACGACAAATTATAAAGAAGTGACAGACGATGACAAGGTGAGTTGGAGGTAGGGTTGTCAATGTCATTCTTCTTTTTCATCGAATATAGAGTACCTCAACTACTACATACGTCAATGATTGTGACGGCGCCCAAAACTAGATAACTATATTCCCACTAGCGAAATATTGGATGTAATCTACGTTTAGTACTTATTTAATAAAAATAAATTAATTCTTAGGCGACACAGTTGAAATTTATCATATTTATTTTGTAGTTTATCGATTTATATTAAACTGCGATTATATTTCGATGAATTAGGTCGACTTCACTTAATTTAAATCTTGGTTGTAGGATCCAAAAATATCCAGGTTATTGCAAATTGAATAATCCAGAACAATATTTAAAAAATGCAGCAATATTCGTATTTTTGATTTACCCTTTGTAAACATTCGATCAGTAAATTGTAAACAGTAATTCGACCCACAGTAACATATGCCGGTGAGACATGGACATTAAATAAGAAGGAATAGGATACTCTGGATAGATGGGAAAGGAAAATATTGAGACGCATATTCGGAGGACGGAAGATGGTTGGGAGAGAAGAACCAACAATGAATTAATGGCTTTATACAAAGAACCTACCATTACTAAGTTCGTCAAGGCACAAAGAATCAGATGGTTGGGACATGTGGAAAGAATGGCAGCAAACAGAATGCCTAAACTAGTAATAACCAGAAAATTAATCGGCCCCAAAAGAAGAGGTAGACCCAGAACGAGATGGATTAGTAAAGCGGAGAAGACCTCAAACACGTGAAGGTGAGGGACTGGAAAATAAAAGTACAAAATAGAAGCGAATGGAGAACTATTGTACACCAGATCCTTCGGAGTAGTTAAGAATCTTATATATACATATTTAGTTAAAGTTTTGTTTAAAATAATTGTAATTAGTTAATATTAGGATTATGTTGTAAAAAAAATGCCCTAGGCCTTAACGGCATGTTGTGCGTAAAAATAAATAAATAAATAAACATTCGATAATTGTTTCTTATTTTATCTTATTAAAGGCTCTTTCATAGTCACTTTAGCATAAGTGGACGTCTTTTTGCTGATTCTAACACTTACCTTTCTTATCTTTCTTCTCTTATTTTTGACGAGAGACCAATTATTTTTATGTGTACAAGTTCGGTTGTTATTTATGTTTTGCTGCTACTTCAATATCTTCCTTTATTCTGGTTCAGTAGGAATCCATATCTTTCTGGTATTCTTCGTTTACATCTTGATTCCTTAGCCTTAGATTCATTTTCTTCAGATTTCTGCAATAAGTATCCTTCTCGTTCGTTTTCTTGTTTGAATCTTCTGTTCACTTCCTTTGGCAATTTTTCTTTTATGCGTTTACAAATTTGGAAAAAAAGTTTATTAAATACTAACGGTAGGAAATAACCATTAACGAATATAGGGGAGACCAGGGCTGGTTAACGCATTTTTCACATATTTGTGCCTGGATGCTAAATTAAAAGATTTAGTACAACTTTTTTCTCAATGTATGGAAATTTAATCTTTTGCGGAACAGATTTTTAAAAACTGTACATCTACATAAACTGTACTTTATGTTCAATTTGAGAATGATGATGTCACTGTGCACTAATCAGCCCCATCACGAGGTTGGTTAACGTCCATATTATAAAGTATCAAAACAACAAAATAATAAACAAAAACCTTATTATTTATAAAAATATTGCTGTATTTCAAGTTCAAGAATCTAAATTTAACTCAAATAATAAATTAGGTATAAAACCAACAGTACAAAATCTTTTGTTTTTTTACTTTTAAGTGTAACCAAATTTTGAATAAAATAAAAGTGATAAATCGTTTTTTTTTATTTATTGAAAAAGATTTAAATAAAAACTGTATGACCAAATACATCGATGGATTTTTGACAGAACATCGTAAGCGACAAGAAGCAAATTTTACAGGAATCGATTTTTTTGAATAACTACTTTCTTTCAAACTGAAATTTAATAAAAATTTTACAGTAGGTTTCTACATTCCCAAGAATTGTTTTAAAGGTCAAAATTGGAAAAATGGACAATTAATTGTATTTATTTTGTCGCTTACGATGTTCTGTCAAGCAAACTTTTTGCTTAAATTGTAGCTTACGATGCACATACGATGTTTTGTCCATATCGATGGCTTTTTAACAGAACATCGTAAGCGAAAATAAAGTATATTGTTAATATAAGTTACCTCAAAAGTTATTCAATAATAAACAAAACCGAAAATTCAGAAATTTTATTTTATAGAATACTATTAATATTAAGAAATGTGCATTTCTGTTTCTTCTTCGTCTGTTTCTGCTAAGGCATCTGGTACATCTGTTCTTGCTTTTAAAGTTTTATACTCATTCCAGAATCTTTCGGGAATTGCACGATTTTCGCAGAGCTTTTTAAGGTCATCATGTTTTTTATCCGAGATACTTAAAGGAAATGGATATAGAATTTTGACCTCTTGCGTTGTATTTCTTGAACTGCCTAAAAAATGTAGTAACAGTAGTGTTACAAGTTAAAAATTACCACTTTATAAGTCTTACCTTTGGCTACTGGTTTGCTAGAAATCAGCAGAATGTGCGCATCAGCGGAATCGTATTACGAATATCTTATTTTTATAAAGTCTTCGCCTTTCTTTAAATATGCTACTCTTATTTTGCTAATTTGGAAGGCGCGACCATCACTCGTCTTATTAATACTTTTAGGTAAATTATGCGATGCCCTTGTCTTCCAATCTTCAAATTCTAAATGTTTCATAACAATGACTTTGAACGGTCTTGGGTGAATTCTTGCATTGGCAATTAATGTTGGCCATTCGGAAGGTGCCCATACAATACGTTTGCAAATGAATCGTTCTATAGAAGCATGCACTGACATTACATGGCTCTATTTTTATTTTGACCAGCACAACGTGTCACGATACAAAGCCACTGTTTTGACATATGTCCTCTCATCAACTTCTTTAAGTGTTTAAAAATAACTGTACTTATTTCATTACTATCACGATTACCATCTGTTTTCACCCCAGAGGTAGCAAAAAGCGTCTTTGCTTCCACTTTCATAGACAGTTTCGTTGTACATGGCATATTTACGAGAATAATACAAAATAAGTTGTCTCCGTGAGGGATGTTTAAAACTTTTTGAAGATCAAAACTAACACATAAATAACTAGTATCTTGCTTTGAAAGTTTTTGATCTGAAAGAAATTGTGATTTGCATTCATCTTTATCTTTCAAATGGTTGTCATGTTTTGCTATTTCTTCTGCTGTAAACGTAATATCTTTATCCTTTTTTGACTCACATTTGTCCTTCTTTGGTATCATTTTTGACTCACATTTGTCCTTCTTTGGTAAATGAAAACCAATATTGAATTCCTTATAAACCGCACTTCTAAGAGATAAAGTGTCATCCTCTATTAGCTTTAGGGCTGTTTTCCATGTCCTTTTTTGTCGTAGGGGCGCTTTTTGGGAACGTAAACCTTCGGCATTATTCTTAAAGGTATAAAAACTCGTCTTGTTTTTAAACTTGGTGGTGTCTCGTTTTTGCACCTGATATTTACGACGTGGTAGCTTGCCAACGAGTAAAGATAGACTAAACTCGTTACGGAATATCATAGCCCCATGTATATATTATATACTATATATAATATATAGTATATATATATATATATATATATATATAATATATTATATATATTATATATATATGTATATATATATATATATATATGTATATATATATATATATATATATTATGTATATATATTATATATATATGTATATATATAATATATATATATATATATATATATATATATATATATATAAGGTTCTTGAACTCCTGGAGCATAGAGCTTCAGCGAAACGCGCCATCGGGTTCTATTTTGCGCTAAGGCCTTCACCTCATTCCAAGACTTTCCTTGGCCTCTTATCTCGTCCATGATGGATCTTCTCCAAGTTTGTACTGGGCGACCTCTTTTTCTTTTCCCTTGGGGATTCCACTCTAGGGCAGTCTTTGCGATACTGGAACTATTTTTTCGGAGTGTGTGACCGATCCAACCCCACTTTCTGGACTTAATTTCATTTTGTACCCTCTTTTGTTCGGTCAGGTGTAGCAGATCTTCGTTTCTGATGGTGTTAGGCCAGAATATACGGACAATTCTTCGTAGACATTTGTTAACAAAGACCTGCATTTGTCTGTGAGGGTGTTTGTCACTTTCCAGGTTTCACATCCGTAGAGTAGAACAGACATGACATTTGATCGGAATATTCGGATCTTTGTCCTGTAGTATACTCGCCAGATCTCCAAACAGGGTTGAGCGTGCTGAAAGCTTGTTGGGCTTTTCGTATCCTCATACGAATATTGTCTTCTGTACCTCCGTTTTCTGTTATGACACTTCCAAGATACGTAAAGTTTTCCACATTTTCAATCTGCATATTGTCGATAGTAAATAGCGTGTTGTTCCTTGCATTTATTCTCATGGACTTGGTTTTACTAATATTGATTTTCAAACCTATTTTATTGGCTTCAGTGGAAAGTGTTTCCAATTGGTAAGCCAGATCTTGGAACCTCTGACCTAATAGGCAGATATCGTCCGCGTATTCTAGATCGCTTAGGCGTGTGGTTAACGTCCATTGTATCCCTCTTGTGTCGGAGTCTAGTTTGGAGAGAACATAGTCTATAGCTATGTTAAAAAGAAACGGAGAAAGCACGCATCCCTGTCTAACTCCAGTAAGTACGTCGAATTCGTCACTGTTGATCCCATTGTGTGTCACGCTGCATTTCGCATCAGTATATAGTGACTTTATAATAGAAATTATTTTTTGCGGGATGTTTCTTAACTCTAAAATTTTCCATACAGCAGCATGAGACAAGCTGTCAAAGGCACATTCATTATTACCCTCACAGTATTAATGTGGTCTATGCAAGAGGATTCTGGTCTAAAGCCTGCTTGATTAGCTCGAAACTCAACCTTGTTTGTTAATCTTTTCAGTATGATGGTCGTGAAAATTTTATTTATGACAGTAAGCAAGGTTATTCCTCTCCAATTTTTGCACAGTGTGAGGTTGCCTTTTTTTGGAAGCTTGATAA